AGCAGCTTCAATAATTATATCGTTGACTACCAAATTAGACTTCAGTCAGACAATAATAATTTTAACGTAAATCTAAGTTCTCAAGATAAATAACGAGAAAATAACAGATAGATCTTCTGTTAATAGTGTGACGTCCCTAAACACAGCCTTCGCTCGCTCCTCGCTGCTTCGTTCGGGTGTCGCTGCTCCAAACGTGACGTCCGCCTGTTTGCGTCAGTCGTGTTGTCCCGTCCTGTGACGACTAACTGGCTTGGTATCGGTCGCGGCACCCAAATGTGACGTTCTAACCTTTTGGTGATTCGGAGGGGAATCTGGTTAGATTCGATATCAGCCTCGTCGTTCCCAACTCACTTCCAACGTCTGGTTACCAAAGTAACTGCGTTGATCTCCAGTCTGCCTACCCACGTTGTGAATTGATCTTAGGCAGACGAAATCAATCAGTAGTTGGGGCCGTAATGCAAATCGAGTTCAACGAGGGTGACACCGCACAAATATGCATAAAAGAAAATAAAATGATAACTCAAAAGTTCAAGGTATCAAAAAAAAGGATAACAAAACTTTATGTCTAGTTGCTGGATACATAGGACTGCGTCTATCTCCCGACCCGTTATATGGATTGTGACACGTTGTTCCTTTGTTAGGCGTGTTTTAATACTTTAATTTGTCTGTTCTTCAAGAAATTGGTTCTTGGTGTGTCTTCAGACGAAAGTCGAAAAAAACTTATTTTGGTGGTCTGGATCTAAGTCGCTCTTCAAAATAATTGTTCTTGGATTGAAGATGAGTTCGGAAGCTGCGCGAATCTTAGTCAGCTGCGAGGCCTGCTTCAATTGAGCACTCTCCTCAACTCAACTCAACTCTACTGAACTCAACTGATTTTTGCTCGCTGCGACTTTGCTTATATGGACGCCGATCAAAACCGGGGTGGGTTTTGTCGGCGTCGGAGGTTCCTCGATAATTCTAAATACATATCCACTTCTTTTGTTTTTGGTTAGGAATTTTCCACTTCTTTCCATTTTTGGGAGTCTGCTCTTACTCCCACCTTCTCACCATACTTCAGAGGGGCGTCAACTGTCCTCCCCACTTCTTCGTAGCAACCTCTCATACCCATCCTCTAGATGGGCGGCGACAGCTTCCCTCCTTGCGTCACGTGATCACCACTCGGCCAATGGTGTCCAGCCGAGCGTGTGCGGTCCATCGGGCTTTGTTTCAGGAAAAAAAATATATCTTGCTCAAAAAAAAATTATCTTTTTCTCTTCCTTTTCTTTCCTTAATCGCAGCTCTCACCTTCTCTGTGGCCGCCAACAGAACAATGCGACCAGTAGTGTCATAAATCCTATTCTTCATCTGGACCTCGTCAGTCAGATTTTCGCTAATTATCAGAATGGGTGGTCAGCAAAACATCGTCCTCTCGAAAAAACAGCTCCATTCTTCTAGTCATGCTTGGTGCCAATTTCTGATAACATAGTTTTGTTATCACAGCCGAAGATGTCTTGTCAAAAGAAACGGTCAGCCGTTACTTCGTGTGCGGCTTAGCAGACAAAACAGTTAATTTTTCATATCTATCCAAAGCCCTGTATTTCACCTTTTCTTTGTCAATTATCAAAATAACATTTTCAATTGGAGTTTTTTTGGCTAGTCGGTCTGTGGTTTGCTAATTAGATGTTTTGCCCGCATTAATCGGTTGTTATCTATCCCCGATAACACAAGTTCGTCGCCAGAACATAGTCGATTCCCTTATCCACTTAGAATTTTTTGCCATGGTAATGACACTTTTCGCCATTTGCTACTTATCAAAATAACATTGTCAATTGTCTCTGGTCGTGGGTGTTTTTTTTTTATCATCAACGCTTGGGTCTCGCCTCTCTTTTCCTTTTCTTTCCTTTCTCTTTTTCCTTTCTTTTCTTTTTGCCCTGGTAAATGGTGCCACAATAGGGAGATCTTGTCACGTGTGCAACAAAAGAAATAAAATAAAGAGAAGTAAAGGGAACGACGGAAGACCGACTAAGTTTTATAATAGATAAATAAAAAGTTTTATTATAAGTTTAGTGATTATATTCAGTGGCAAAAGTAAAAAAAAAAACATAAAGGCTTACCAGCAACAAGTTAGAAATACTTAAAAAATAACTTCAGTCGGAAGTTGTTGGTTTTTGTTGTAGTTTACATATCAGATCAGCGAATGGCATTAAAGAGAATGCTTCGAAGATTTCTACAACAACTGACTTTGCCAGTCAACTCGCTTAATTTTGGCGCTAACCAATACAGATACCCGGATGAAAGACTTCCATTTGTAAGGTCATCCGAGCATATCAAATGACCCAGCATCAGCGCAGTGGTTGTGTGAGCTGTATAGGCAGGACTGTTATGTTCACAGCAAAATAGTCTGAGTCTCAATCTACGGAAGCAGGTATAATAAACTTAACTTTGGGTCCTGCCCTGTCACTGGATCTAACTAACACCTTTATTCACTGTGTCATGTGTCCTTGAGGACACATGGCAAAGGGGATAAAAGCTGTGAGTTCAATACCCGGTTAAGGCAGTGGAGAACTTGGAGAGGGGAATTAACAGAAGATAATTGATAACTGACACCCATTAAACATGGCACATGGAACTAGAACAGTTTACCCCAGTGAGCGAAATAAAGGTTTCAGTTCGTCATTTCAACCACCTGAAGAAGGCCGGAGCGTACAACGGCCGAAACGTTGTAATTAATATGGCGACAAAGCTGAGGACAATACTCCGAATAATGTAAATAGTGTACATAATACCTCATCTTATAAATATAGACAAATACTGAAGAAGGTTGAAGTGTACAACGGCTGAAACGTTGTAATAAATATGGCGACAAAGATGAGGACAATAGTCCGAATAATGTAAATAGTGTACATAATACCTTATCTCAGAAATATAGACGGATACTGAAGAAGGCCGGAGTGTAAAACGTCTGAAACGTTGTAATAAATATGGCGACAGAGATGAGGACAATAGTCCGAATAATGTAAATAGTGTACATAATACTTCATCTCAGAAATATAGACAGATACAAAAAGAAACAACTGAAGTTTTTTTGAGTAACGATGGCTTAGAAAATTTAACACTGGACAGGACATATTAAATGGAAGAGACACAGAAAAAATATAGCGTATGAACTGCGTAACGAAATTGTGTATTTGAATGACAGAACAGGGATTAGGAGAGACAATGGAAAGACAAATTTAACAAAGGATGGAAAATTGTGGAGATCCATAATTGCACATAATCTGTAGAAATACGGCGCCTAGAAGTTTTCCTTAATTGAGTAACGTGGCTTCCCTTTGTCTTTTCTACGAATATTTTCATGGCAACTGCTCTTAAGAGCGTTTTTCCCTGGTTCCCCGACTACGAGAACTTAAGCGTGCTACTAGAGTGGCATCTAGGTCCCACCCAATTACTGTTGGAATAGTTAAATCTAACCGCCATTTCTACTCCAACGGTTTCTTTTCTCTCACTTCCCGCCGGTGGAACTCCCTTCCGTTTATTTGCTTCACTGATAACTACAATCTTCAAAACTTTAAATGCAACCTCAATCGCCATCTTCTATATTCTTGAATCACGTTCATTTTTTATCTTTTCCTCAATCACCCCTATACCTTGTCTTTTCCCTCACTTTCACTCTCTGTAACCCTCTACGTACTAATGGTATTCCTGTCTTGCTTGTGGTGAAATGATTAAAAATATGGATGACAAGAACACAAAGAAGCAAATGTTTTAGAGCAATGAAGTAGAGGAAACTGTGAAGATATATGTTCTGAAATAACCATTCATATAAAATTTGTGCCCAGATATAAAATAATCTTGACAATTTGTGCGAGTGTATTTTTCTGTATTAACCATGTTATGAATACTGCCAAATGATTAAAAGTTATGGTAATATTTACATACTAGAAGTAACTACGAAAATTTCCTATTTTCATTTTCTGATGAATCTTAATTCTTCAGTTAATGACTGGATAAGCACATGGCGAATTCTATTACAATAAATTATCCGTAGAAATTCCCTTATCACATCGTTAAATATTTGAGCTTGACAACTTTAGCAAAATATTTCAATAACAATTATAAATATGAATGCTGGTTATTATTTTACGAAGTAAGGCGATTCAAATGAAAAAAAAATTGAAATTGACAACACTTCCATTTCACTGAAACAAGCGTTAAACACTTCCATCTTTCCTTCTTTCTTTCTTTCTATGATTTTCTCGCTGAAACCCAGTAGCGTCTCTGATATGTATTTTCCGTCTTTCCGCGCGATCAGAGCGGAATAGTCCAATATTCATGGGACATTGACAGAATTTAACAGTCATGCTATCAAAGTAGAACTATAATAATTTATATATACTATAAACGTAATTAATTTGTCAATTTTGACTACATTCCATTGAAAAAGCCGCCCTCCACATGCCAAATCAGTCTGACTAAAATTCAACCACAGAAAAACAAAAGACTTGAGGCTTAATACCAACATCAAACTGCCCAACAGAAAGACAGTCGAAGCAGTAGAGGATTTTAAATACCTTAACCCCAGATGCTGTTCTTCCTTCAACGATTTTAAACAACGACTAATAATCGTATTTGACAAATTTTGGCAACTGAAGAGCTTAAGGGAATCACCAACATTGAACTAAAAAAATTAAAACTTAAATTAAGACAATTTAATACTGTCTTTCTATTTATATAGTTCCACGACCCGGAATCTTGGACAGTAACTAAATAGACTGTGAAAATCCTGAATTCGTTTGGAATCATGTGTTTAAGATATATATATATATATATATAAGATATATACTGGAGGTTAAAAAAAATATATTATTACCGCAACAGAAATGAAAACATTCTGAGAATGGTCAAATTTGATAAAAAAAAAAAAAACTTTATGCACAATCCTGTATCAAGATTCGGTTACTACGAACCAGAGCATGGAAAATAGAAGGGAATGCATAAGAAGAATGATTTACGTAAAACGCATGGAGAAATTCAAATATAAAACTGCTGAGGAATTGTGTACACTTGCCTTGGACATGGATGAATGGAAAAGAAATGTGGTCGAGCTGTATGGTTATATAATCCTGGTTAAAGAAAAAATTGTCAATTTATTTTTCTCTTCGGGCATTAGTCACCATTCAACACATCGGTTATTCCCCTTAGATATGGAGTTTTCAGAATAGCCTCCCTTGAATTCGCTGCAGTTTTACAAATATTTAAGTTTGATCGCCACAATGTGGTAACCCCCTCATATAGCTTTGTAAAAAGATCTGATATAAATAAATATATCTGTAAGCGCAATAAAAGAAACGATAACAGGAAAACTTTTTTTTTATGCCGGTACGTATCATTCTTTGAACAAATTTATCATGGCAATTGTAGAACATTTTATTTACGAAACTATATTTATAATTTATGCACACAGTCCCAGATAAAATTTTCTATATTTGCTTTGCTACAGTTCCTCAAAGGATGAAATGTGTCGGCATAGAAAGTTAAAACACACACACACACACACACATATATATATATATATATATATATATATATATATATATATATATATGCATGTTTCATTAAAACGACAGACAATACATATCATATATATATATATATATATATATATATATATATATATATATATATATTACGAATTGGCTACTGACGTTTATATACATCTTGTATATAATACGTTAAAACTTTCCCTATCTTGTGTCGATAGTTTAGGGTAGAATCTCTGACTGATGGCAAATCGGTCAAGTTTCGATCTCGGCTTGATGCAATCGGACGTCTAGTTACAGTGATTAGCTGTGATACACCAAAATAGGCTTGTATGTGGATGCCTATATATATATATATATATATATATATCGAAATAAATTTCATTTAAATCAACTGATAAAATCGGTCTGTTTAATTTGTTACTGAATATTTACAATTTTCAAATAAGATATTGTTCATTGGAATCAAAATTGTGGATAAACTGTGCAAAATTCATATTTGTTCTGTAGTTTGTTCAAGTAATTTGGACCATCTCATTTATTTTCGAAAAAGTATAGTTGACAAGATTCCTTTTGGTATTGTATAGGAAGCTGAAATATTAAAATCGAACCACGGTGACGTCATATGTAACTCTTAAGGGGATCGAGATTTCATAAAAAATAATGCATTTTTTATACGCATATGAAATATATCATATACACTTCTAGATACGGTCTCTTGTGTTTAAAGATATTTTATTTAATGTAATTTGTTTTTATTTAGTATAACAGCTTCTAGTATTATGAGTTTTTCTTTGCATTAGGTGCTACATTTGGCAATGTCCATTAATATTTGGATAGATATATTTTGGTTGTTTGTAATGTGATGATCGATATGTGCTCCAATTGCACCGAGTTTCGACTGATGATAAGAGTGTGCGATGCGTGTGTAGCCGACATAAGAAATTCTTGTTGCTTTTTATTATTAATATTGGAGATGCATCTGTGAATAAAGGCGTTAGTTAGATCCTGTGACAGGATCCAAAGAGTGTGAGTTCAATACCTGGTTAAGGCGGTGGAGACATTGGAGAGGTGAATTAACAGGAGATAACTGATAACTGACATCCATTAGACATGGCACGTGGAACTAGATACAATCTTTGCCAGTGAGCAAAATAAAGGGTTCAGTTCGACATTCCAACCACTTGAAGAAGGCCGGAGCGTACAAACGGCCGAGACGTTGTGATAAATATGGAGCCAAACATGAGGACAATAGTCCGAATAATGTAAATAGTGTATCGGAGATGCAATCCTCCAATAGGCATGAGAATTAATAAACAACATTTACATCGGTGGGATTTTTTAAACTTTAGGCAATTATGAAATCTCTCTTCAAAATATTTGAGAATATTTTTTATGCAATTACACTCACTTTACTTAATTTGATTATTTTCAATTTTGTATAGATGCGTATTACATTGAGGCTTACACTTTTTACAAATAAGTCCTTGAAAACAATTACTGACAGAATCAAAATGAAAAGTCGATATAGATGCCTTAGTTTAGAACTTAACAAAAAATAAAATAGCTCTTTTTAAGAATTTAATTTTTTTTTTATTCTATTGTCTGTAACAAAAACAAAAACTATTTTATACAGATTTTTGAAAATTTTATATATAATAGATTTAATAACTTAAAAGTCTTTCTGCTTTCATTCAAAAGGTGTAATGCTCTGAGATTCTGTTTTTAAAGAGTTGATATCCTCTAAATGTATAATACAAAGATAATGGAAAAATAGTTTCTCCAACTGTTTTCAAAATAATATTGCACGGTTGTTGATTGGATTTTATTATTCACTAATAGTGGGAAGACTTGTAGTCATTTCAGTTTTTCAGTTGTCACCATCCTCACACGAGACACTACGAAAAAACAAATAAATTATAACTCATACATCCATTAAAATAATTTCCACAGTCAGAAATAAATTAAAGCTGTCAGAAATTAGATTTTAGACCAAGGGAGACAACTTTTCTTTAATTATTTCATAGTTATTTCCCTTGGATTGTTCAAATTTCTGAATCCTTTCCTAAAGTTTGAATTATCCTCCATGCTATATATAATGAAAAGATCAATACACTTAACATAAAACGTTTTCTACGCGCCCCTTCTCATTTCGTTCTAATCGTTGAATTCTTTATAAATCTCTCATCTCGTTTTTTTCTCTATTATACTTACTTTTTTTTCTCGCCATTAGAGTTATTGGTAAAATTGCTATTTGCAATGATTTTGTGCATTTTTCAAATTTTTTCAAGTGATTTTAATTAATTTCCTTGCTTCTCACTCGTGCGTCATTTATGACATTATATATACATTATAAATTTACAGAGTAATCATATTGGCAAGCGATTATTGAAGCCTTGATGCCTTAGTGAGGACCATTCTTCTTCGAGCTTCATGAACTGGCGCAACAAAATCACAAAATCAACAGAAACCACATTACTTGAAGACTTTCAACAGCAGCAACAGCTAAAATGGATAGCACATGTAGCTCAAACAGACAATAATGACATAATCAAAATTTTAACGTTCCACACTACTTTAGAAAAAAAAATTGGAAGGAAGATTCCACCAATACTGGAAAGAGTAATAACAGCTACTGGACTTTTTCTGTTTTCTTGAAAAAAATGCTTTATTATGAATTCATTATGAAGTTCAACTAACACTGACACTAATTGTTTGATCAATGAATGCCGAATATTTCTTTATAAGGCAAAGGCTAATATTAATATTAACATTAGATGCGGAGAAAGATGAACTGATTTAAAGTTTAATTAATCTGATTTGAAACAAATATTACTTACTTTTGGTGTAAAATATCGCAGAAAAGTACTTTTTTATCACGGAGGTGGGTGTTTTTATGAGGTGATGAAAACTTTCTCGATAGACTTATGTTTGGATGTTTTTTCTAAGGGGGACATAACTGTAACAATTACTTGAATATAAGGTGAACGCCGTTGTTACATTATTTGTTTAAATACCCAGTAATTATTTAAAATTTAAGAAAATATTCTAACCAATGTAATATTGCATTGTATTTTAGGCACTTTCAGATTTATAATCTGACTTATTAAGCCGCTTGTTGAGGAAATGTTAGGAAATTCCCAATACATTTTAACTTTTCTATAGTTACTGCTATAGTTACTGCTCTTATTTTTTGTTAATGTCTTGTTTGGAGATCCGTATTCATAAAAATACTTTTAGACACACATAAAATAAATTATTTTTAAAATATTGAGGTTGTTGAATTGCAGTAAGTTTTTCAATTTATTATAACTAAATACAGTCCTAATTTAATAATAAAAAAATATATCACTTGACCGCTACAAATTAATACAGAATTTTAAACGCTTTAGAAGGTTATCAATTATTCTAATTATTTTTTTTTAAATAAAAACAATTCCTGCAAAAATACATTATTCACTGAATTCGTTTTTCTTAAGATGATATTGTCTATAATATATTCTATTCATAAAAGCATTTAAAAGCTTCTTTTTTTTAATGAAATAATGTCTTAACTTTATTGAATTTTTTTATTTTACGATTCAGACCAGATTTTCTATCACCGCGGTAGTGTTTGACCAAAAGAATTTCATGATTTAAATTCTCCGAGGAATTCTCCTTATAACCAATATAAATATAAACGCTTAGAAAAATAAATTTCTCGAAATTAAATAAAATCAAATATGTTGGATGAGGTAATACATGTAAAAATATATTTTTTACAGAGATTTTTTTCGGAAGACATGTTTTAAAAATAATTTCATTCATTTGTGAATAAGTCCTGAAAGTTTAATTAAAATCAGACACTTATTTGATTTTTGCAAGAATTTTCAAATCTGTATTTTACACCGCAAAATGACGCTAAAATTTCCCATATTGATTCATGTTTGCCTGCTGACACAAGAAAAAAAATTAACCAAAATTTCTGAAAAGGCTAAAAAAATATAATTTTTACATCAAAAAATCCTTTGGTATTTCCCCTTAATAATAACATAAGGATTTTGACGATAAAATTTTGTTTTTATTAAGTTTGGGGCAATTTTCATCATACAATTCTTTGGAGGTATTTAATTTTGGTTGATATTTTCATCAAAACTAACCGAAAAACACAAGAGCCAGAACTTTCTGAAAAATATAAAATGAAGACAGTCCTAATTTTTCAGTGACCTTCTTGAAAAAGCTATTTTTGTATAATTTAATAATGGTCAAATAAGAGAAAGAACAAATGGAGTAAAATCCACAGTTCGTAGCATTTACTTTAAAAACGTGCTCAATACAAAGTAGAGCAAAACATGACAGCAACAAATGTATTATGAATGTATTAGCATCGTATATCGATGTTCCACATTTTTAATTTTATCTATTGGCCCCTTTAAGAAGCTTTATGAATATAAAAAAAAAATTAAAAAATTTGTTTTTGATAACGTTATGTCTGATTAATTTCCCCCACTTGTTGAAGTAACAAATGGGAACATCATATTTGGCTACATTCATAATACATCTGTCGCTGTCATGTTTTCCAAGCGCCATTTTATCGTGACATGAAAAAATAACTCACCCACTTCCACCCTCCGACCTTATTTTTCTATTTAACATAGATCTGACTTTTAACTGGTTAATCTAGACATACCCACAAGGAAATTTTTAATTCTGAACTCCCCACCCACTTTAACTTACGAAAAGAGGAAGTACAATCATACAATAGAAACATGAAAGCTTTTGTGTAAAGATATAAAATGTTTTTATTATAATCTCTTATAATAAAAATATTATAATGATAACTTAATAAAGATATTAAAAAATTAGTAATATTCTGATTTAAAAATTTAAGCAATGGTATAAATAAATAAACAAGTCGGTATAAAATAAAAATGAAATATTAAGCTTTTTAAAGATTCCCGGGCATCTCCTAGAAAATAAATGTTCTTTTCTTTTTCTTTTTTTTTTCTGTATAGCTATTATTCTTTTATTTTAGCTACAATTTTTGATTGTACGTTTTTTTAGAACTAGGCCTGCATATTTTTTCGCATAAAACATAAACTTTTTAATGTTTTGGGGAAAAAATGAAATGAAGTTTTCTTAATTATTTTGTAACAATTTTACAGTAATGATTTTTGACAAATGATGCAGCTCAATTCAGTAGCATTGTCGTATATTGAAACTAAGAAGACAAATTTAGTCTTCATTTTAGTTTTCAGTTTCAATAAAAAAGTGGGGATCTGAAACCATTTTAGATCCGTCGACGAGGCAGAGTAATTTTGAATACGATTTTAGATGTTTCCGTATAATTGTGTCAACATATGCGTTTATATATATGTACAGGTATAAGTATACGTATGTATAGTACAATATATATGCGTGCAGAATACAGATAGTAATACTTAAGTGTGTGTGTGTGTGTGTGTGTGTGTGTGTGTGTGTGTGTGTGTGTGTGTGTGTGTGCGTGCGTGTGTGTGTGTGTGTGTGTGTTGGGTGGAGAGAGAAAATGGGAGAGAGGGGGTACAAATAGTCTCCAAAGCGATTAAAGGCAAGAGTTAGGCACAGTTCTTTTCTCTAAGTTTTATGAGCCCATAAACCATTCGTTAAACAGATGCGAACGTTTTTTTAAAACGCGGTCTTCCTTTCGTTTGATGTATTTGGCGGGAAGACGGCGACACGCAAGCAAAAGGCGCCAACATCGACATAAGAAATAAAAAAGACAAACACGCAAACATAGTAACAAACACGGGCCACATGACTAAATGACCGATACGTAACTCTACCAGATTAGATTAGAGATTAAGACATTAGCAATCTATTCTACTCCCCACTCTCTTTCTCTTTCTTTCTGGGTTTACTTAGCAGAATTGGCGCAATACAATCTTCCATTTCCAAAAGTTGTCAGTATGATATTCATTATATACTTGTAAAATTTTCAATAACAACATGGTATAAATATTCTCTCTCTCTCTTTCTCTCTCTCTTTCTCTCTCTCTCTTTCTCTCTCTCTTTCTCTCTCTCTCTTTCTCTATATAATAGTCTATACCCTTGCTCTCACGCTCTCTCTCTCTTTCTCTATCTATCTATCTATCTATCTATCTATCTATCTATCTATCTATCTATCTATCTATCTATCTGTATATAATAGTCTATACCCTCGCTCTCTCACTCTCTCCCTCTCTCTCTCTCTCTCTATCTATCTATCTATATATCTATCTATCTATCTATCTATCTTTCTGTATATAATAGTCTATACCCTCGCTCTCTCTCTTTCTCTATATAATAGTCTGTCACCCTCGCTCTCTCTCTCTCTCTCTCTCTCTCTCTCTCTCCCACCCTCCTCCCTTTCCATTTACTCTATGAAAGAGTTTATTCATTTTGGTGCAATGTAATCTTCTTCTTTAAGAAATCAGTACATCCGTACACTTGTAAAATTTTCAATACCTGCATGTATAAGTATTTTCTCTCTCTCTATCATCAGTGTGTGTGTTTGTGTGTTTGTGTGTGCATGCGCGCGTGTTTAAAATTGCTATACACAAAAACATTTATTGTCCATATGTATTTGAATTATATTTCCTCTTATTTTTAAAATTCTTTCTATCTATCTATCTATCTATCTATCTATCTATCTATCTATCTATCTATCCCATTCTGTTTCTATCTATCCCATTCTGTTCATATCTATCTATCTATCTATCTGAATATGTATAAGTGTAATAGTGTATATACATACACTAATACACTTATATATATATATACACTAATAGACTTATTTTATATATATATACACTAATAGACTTATTTTATATATATATATATATATATATATATATATATATATATATATATATATATATATATATATATACATCTAATCCTAATGTCAGCTATCAATTATAAAATGAATTATAGTCATCAAATTCACTTAAACACGCTACGATTTGTGCTTTTACTGCAATTAGGAGTAGGAACCTAGCGCCCCCTCCCAATAAAACGAGTAAAAATCGACATCGAAAATTTAAAAAAAATGTTTTTTAATACTAAGAGTGGGAACTTAACCCCTATTTAAAACAAGAGAAGGAACCTAACTCCACACCCCACTAGAGTAAATATCTATTTAAAAATATTTATGTTAAAATATTGAGTGGGGGGGGGAGACTTAGCCCTATTTTAAACTAGAAGGATGGGAGCTTAGACCCATCCTTCTCGAACGGTCATAATTTTCTGTTGTCGAATTGCCATTTTTCCTATTTATCCACTTTTGCCATTTTTCCTATTTATCCACTTTTGCCATTTTTTCCTATTTTTTTTGCCATTTTTACCGTTGCCATTTTTACCGTTGCCATTTTTACCCTGTCATTTTTCCGCTGCCATTTTTACCGAGCATATATATATATAATATATATATATATATATATATATATATATATATATAACCAGGTATAATGAGAACGAATGAATACAATTCCAACGTTCGTAACATTTAATTTAAAAAGAGGGCTCAATACAAAGTAGAGCAATATTTTTATTTTAGGATATTACATGGGAAAACCTATCAAAATCGCTACACAGTTGCAGTCGTGTTTCGATGCGCATACAACGCATCTCATCAGGCGATTGTAAATTACTGGCGAGGGAATGATTTAATCAGTTGATTTAATCCGATTTAATTCGACTAAATTGTTCACTCGCCAGTAATTTACAATCGCCTGATGAGATGCGTTGTATGCGCATCGAAACACGACTGCAACTGTGTAGCGATTTTGACGCCAAATTAAAGTATATATATATATATATACGATGATGATGATGGACTTTCGCGTCGTTTTCGACGTATGAGTGTCTTTCAGTTCAGTTTTTATGTTTATGTTTCGTATGAGACAACAATCCTGCACGGGATTTGTAACCAAATCCACACGAATGGCATAATATAATGTTGACCGTCATATGGTCTGATGTATTAACCCGAGATTTAGTGTTAATTCTTAATACTCTCAGATGGCAGAGACGATTCTTTTCAAAGTTACTTATACCTCGGTAGCAGGTATTTCTCCAGTTTGCTCGGTTTTCAACAGTATATATTATTTTAATACCTATATTCGGGCGGTGTGAAAAAAACAGACAATACAATTTGTAAATAAAAAATATTTGAACAAACCGATATTATATATATATATATATATATATATATATATATATATATATATATATATATATATATATACCAATCACCATTCTCGAATTTTACCTTATAATATAGTTTCTCTTTTTTCTTATTCATGATTAAAGATTCCCTGTTAAACTGATATAATGGGATATGTATACACCTGTGTTCCCCCTCACTGGAATATGATTGGCTGGTGTCCGTCATAAATACCGACGGACGTGTAGGAGAGTCAAGAGCCTTAGTCTGAGAGCTAAGTCTATAACGACGCCCATTGGACTACGCCAATGATCTTACACTTCTTACCTGCGACTACGACGCGTACCAGTTGATTACTGCTACCGTATTCTACTTGGTTATAGTAGCCAAAACCACTTAGCTACTTCGTTCAAATATATCCCTTCCCTGGACATACCATAAACTGTCAATTCCAGAAATAGGCCACATTTACAGAGCATTGAAAAACGAACCCATTCCCCATAAACTACAGGATAAGTTATCTAAATATTGTACGGCTTACTAGTGATATAACTGGAATTTGTAAAACTGCTTTAGTCATGAAATTAACGGGTTTATTCTTCAGAAGATGACCCATGAATATGTCATCTCATACTGTCAGATTATCTCAAAAATAAAATAACTCATAATATTTTTATTTTTATTTAAGTTTTTTTTCTTTTTGATTTGTTACTCACGTTTTATTTTTTTCTTTGATTTCTCATTTATTCTACATTTTTCTGCTTTGAATAAAGAATGACATTTAAAGCGATAAAAGAATACATTGTAACAGATGGCAGAATACCTATTTGAACATATCTTATACCGAAAGTAAAATAAACTGATGCCATCATCTTATCTATAAAATTTAAAGGGGCGCTCGATGCAGGAGTAAATATTACCAGTAAACTTCCCTGAGTATGATGATAAACTACATCCGGCAGCAAGGCCTCTGATCGAGAGATTGGAAATTTTGAGCAGCGTGAAACTACCTCTTAGTTGCTGTTGTTCCCAGGTCCACCCTGACCAGAGGTAGTATCACCTGTTCAGATTCCAGCTAAGGGCAAAACCCCAAAGCTAAAATCAAAACTCGAGCAAAGTATAAAAAATACATTTTATAGCAATATATATATATATATATATATATATATATATATATATATATATATATATATATATATATATATTGCTGTAAAATGTATTTTACCTTTGGTTGGATTTGAGTTTTGAACACACATCAATTCAACCAAACATGTTAGCTCTATCTTTGATATTGAGCGCTTTCTAATAAGTACCGCACATATGATATATAAATAATAATATATATATAATATATTGCACACACACACACACACACACATATATATATATATATACATTTTTATATTTATATACACACACTTTTCACACACACCCACCCATAGATAGATAGATAGATAGATAGATAGATAGATAGATTGATAGATAGATAGATATAGATACAATACCAGCAATATATATATATATATATATATATATATATATATATATATATATATATATATATATGACCAACAACACATTCGTCTGTGGTTGAAGGCATACAATTGCGTTCAAAATATTATTTAGATTTTGGCATTAAATAAAGCATAAAAGTTGATATTCCGCAATACAAAACCAATTAAACACCCAAACAATTTAGAATGGATCAGACTGAAATAGAATATCTCTTAGCAGATTCATCACTACGTAGTCATTGTATAGTGATTGCAACATGTCCATAATAGAAATCATTGCAATCAAAACACCCTCCGTTGTTTTATAAATTAATTTCCAAACTACAGTTAGGGAATAATGCAAGGGAAACAACTCGTCTATTAAGAAACTTTTTTCTCACTTTTTTACAAAAATCAAACGGAAATGAGAAGGCTAAATGATGAAGTCAAATCTTTTCTAATAATTTTGGCTGAAAATCAAACATTAAATATAAAATCTTATTTGTAAAAGTTTCTTCGATAATATAATTTTAAGGAAGAATGTTGTATTCCTTTAAAATAATTCAGTTTTTAGCGACTCGTTTAATTTACTGTAAATTATTTTAATGAAAATTCGAGACAAAAATCTATTTTTATATTAACCAAAAAAAGAATCACTGATAAAACAGTACAAAGGTATTACATTAGAAACTTTAGTCTTTAAAAAAGTGTACAAAAAGATTTAGCGCACACTTTACATTATTCGGACTATTGTCCTCATTTGTGTTGTCATATTTATCACAACGTTTCGGCCGTTGTACGCTCCGGCTTTCTTCAGATGGTTCAGCGGCCGAAACGTTGTGATAAATATGAGGACAATAGTCCGAATAATGTAAATAGTGTATATAACACCTCATCTCAGAAATATAGACACATACATACTCATATCGATACGTATTGTACACAAAAGCTAATGATCGGAGTTCAAGCCCACTCTAAGCTTTAGATATTTATAATTTCAAATGAGAATTTTCGAAGTAGGCAGACACCCACCGCATGAACACACACACACACACACACACACACACACACACACACACACACACACTAGAACATTTATACGATTCAATATTACTAACTGTTATCACAGGAGATTAATTTAAACTTAGTAAAAGTGTGTGCGCGATCCGTATACTTTACAGAATTAAAAAGCGTTTACGCGGCCCTGTGGGTGATACATTATTTGTCAACCTACAGCAAAAACTTGCGAGCCTCTGGCTATATTATCGCTATTTTCTTGTCGACATTCTTTACTTCCACCAGTCCAGACCTTCAGAGCTAGGACTCACCACGCCACACACACACAAAACCGACTCTCCTCATCCCTTTAGCATTCCATTTGTTAGGAGGAAGTTCTATTCAAGCATCTTCTTTCAAAAGATGCTTCTTCGATTACTACGATCGTAATCCCATTCGTCTTGGGTCAAGCGTGGTCTATCTTAAATATCCTTATAATATGCGCCCTGATTTATACTCTTTACGCTCTAACAACAGCTTGATAACCATCTACATCGAGGTACTCTTAGGCCTTGCATTGGGGAATAACAGTCTCTCTCTCACTTTATGTTTATACACACACACACACACACACACACACACACACACACACACATATATATATATATATATATATATATATAGTCATGCACAAACAGCCTGTTTCGCTGTATCACAGTTTTTCGGTGTGGCCAGACGTCCGGTTGCCTCTTGCTAGGATCGAAACCCGGCTAAATTGGCGTCAGTCGGAGATTCTACCACAAAGCCGTCGGCAGGGACTGAGGTGAATTTTAGTGTATTTATTTTTAGATAAACACACAGTAACTGAGAGGACTCGATTCACTTTACCGAAGAGTCTTGCTATAATAGCCATAATAGTCACTGTTTACAAACCCACACTTCCTCCCCCAGAGAGCTCAACCGAAATAAATTTTTCACGAGCCTATATATATATATATATATATATATATATATATATATATATAGTATATCCTGGAGATGTCCTGATGATCCGATAGGTGAAATGATGCTGATTGATT